TACAATAGTATAGTACATTTAATATTTATTGCACTCCGTTTGGTCATACTTTATATTTTGTATTCACAATTGTATTACATATTTCCCAAGTTCATGCTGGTAATATTAATGTAGATTTCACTTTCATTCGCCGGTAAATTCTCTTCACTATCCAATCTGATAATAATGTCATCAGTGCATTCAGATCTATAATACGCGCGCTATCACACTCACTACAAAAAGACAGATCGTGAAACCACTACTTTAAGGGTTAATCATAAATGTCAATCTATGTTTCCCAATTTGGTACCGTAATTCATATCACGTGGCTTATGTTTTCAATATTTCTGGAATTACTTATGTCTAGCTTTGTTGATTTACTATTGTGACAAGTCAGTAGCATTCATTTAATATCATGTACAGTAATATAGCTTCAATAGGCCAAGTCAATGGTGGTACTGACGACAAAAATGTATAAATTATTAGTTAATTTATTATATTAAAAAAGAAAAAAACCCTGAAGCCCGAAAAAATAACCTTTGAAAATGGGGTTTTCTTTAAAATGATGAAAATGCACATATACCGGTAAGTTCTCAAAATAATATATGCATTTGGTACCAAACATAATTGATTTTCGGTAAACGCTTATCCACATGCGAACCCAAATATTCGCAAATGCCGCTATTTGCAACAATAAAATAAAAGTTCTCCCATCTAATAACGACATTTAAAAGTCTTATATTGTCTTTCAACCATTCGTTAGGCCTAACCACAGTCGTTGTATGCCTGCCTGTAAGTATTAATACAATCGTGTTACAATGTATAATAAACAAGTCCCATTGTGGAAACTAAAATTATCTTCTACATCCCTAAGTATTTGATGAAATCGTTGGTCTTAAACGTCTCCGAAATACTTTATTACTGTCGAGTTTCTCAGAATTGATTTATTTATAGACCTATGATTTATGGCTTTAGATGAAATTGTTCTGTTTTAAAATGACTTTATTGAAAGAGTGTCTAAATTTTCATTTGATGCAACAGTAATCGTAAGTATATCCTCGACATCACAATGGTTGGAGGTCCAGATTACATATGAATACTTGATGATTCAATAATAATCGGTATTCTTATCCAATACCTCAGGTTGATCGCACTTTAATGAATTTGTTAGACTAGGATATGTTGCCTATTACTATCTACTTGTCTTGTGTAATTATGCTCATCTTTTTTATGGGTCGAATTCGATTATTTGATATGATAGGCCTACCAGTTGAATCGTCTCGTTCCCACATGATAAGATTATGGAGTTACGGTAGTCTAAAAAAAGCCGTAACCAGAAAATCTGGAGGGGTTCGTTGTGAGAGCCAGAGGTCCGGGAGTCCCCTAGTACCAACTAAGTGATGGCACGTGAAGAGCTCACCCATAGGGGTCAGGGCATCAATCATCATAAATTGTGAATTTCTTTCTCATTTTCATCGCATTTTATGAAGTGTAGGGGAGGGGTGGGGATACGCTACAGTAACAGCTCTCCATCCAACATTATTTGCATCTTGGTGTCCGTCCTTTACGCAGAACATCCTTTGAAAAAGACTGTTGAGATTTAACTTGGATTAAGAGGTCTTTCCCGACAGCAGTCCCCAGACCTTATGGAACAATCTTCCTCCTTATTAAACTACATTATCTATTCGAATAATGTTAACTGTGACTGTTAACAAAAGTAATGGAAGCAGCGTCATTTTTTCAACACAGTCTGCTCCAGCAGAATTACACTTTTTCTAACCTGGTTGGGATCAATAAGCGAGTCTTTATGAACACGCAATGAGACGTTTGACGGAAATTATGTATTGAAGTTCCACATTTACGGTGAAATTAGGGGGCGAGGATATTTAAGATATACTTTACACCAAAAAAATAAACGACTCCCTCGAATAAATTCCCCTTAAAAACCCTTCTCAACAATAAACCCCCCTGGGCGTTTATTATTCGAATAAACACGATAGGTGGAGTAAGGTAAATTAAGTAAATATATAACCATAGAAAGAAATACTCCCGGCCTTATCGCGATGTATTTCACCTGCTTGTAATCCAAAGATCGTGCAAAGAGGAGCAAGATTGGGACCGTCTTAATGTTCGTTTATCCAGTGGATGATATTTAACAACACCTTTGTGTGTGGTTCGTGATTGCGCATTTACACACGAAAACTGTTAACAGTTTTCAAGGGTTATTATGACGACTTTTAATCCGAATTTTCGTAATTCGTTCGAGGCCAAACGCAAAAGATTTAGTAAACACATGCCGCGGATGTCCCACTTCTCCCATTTCCCTCTAACCTAAAAGTTTTGCTGCGTCAAGACCTTTTGAATTGTTACGTTGCGCTATCTGTTCACACATTTTAATAGGCTCCAGTTTCAACCCATGCCTATATTTGTTCTACGATAATAATAGAACAAGTGACAGTTTAATGACTGTTGTACGTCTAAATATGAAGAAACAAACTGATTGTAACGTCAACAAAGCGGTAATTACATGTAGCAATCCAAAAGTGTGGTCCCGTGTTTATATAGGCCCCTTTTTTCTGAGTGGCCTATGCCAAGAATATCATTCAGCTGTCACGTGAACATTCATTATAAAAAATATACCGGTATGGAGTACAGTACACCTAATGGGAAATGTTAGCATTTTGTGAATTGTTTGTATTAAGTTTATGGATAATCGAATGGGTGCTGATTCTGATCACTAAGACTAGGATGGTATATATAGGAAGTAATCGGTTTGCCTGTTATTGCTTGGTCACGCACAAGTCCCACTGTTTAAGGTAGTACCGGTATAGGCCTTTTAAGCCAACTGCCTACTATCTTATTTGGCCAAAACAAGATGTGTACATGACGTTCACCATAATTTATCATAAAATGGGCCCAGGGAGAGGGGTGGATCTAGAGTCTTTTTTTTAACCATTAAAACACACGAGAGTGTCATTGTTTTAAAATCTAAATAAGCGCACCGTTGTTGTTTCATGGGAGTTGGGGTAAGACGTACGTCCGTGCTCATGCCCCTCCCCACACCCAGATTTTGACACTAATTTCCACTAGCGTTTTATCATCGGAAGAACACAAAATTGTGTTATCTTTGTTTCTAGTCTCTAGTTTTACGGTGGTGAATTGTACACCATTAACTATTTTTAACATTATCATTTTTACATTTTTGTGGTAAATCAAAACATTAATAGGACTAGGCAAGGGGTTGTCGAACCAGGATGTTTATGGTTTAGAGCATCCTAACGCGCGAGGTGCGTATCAGCAAATTCAACTTGTTGAAGCCGAGAATAGTCGGCTTAATTTATATCTCATTAAAGTGAATACTGAAGGACTGATAAAATAAACAACTTTCTTTTGAGACTTAACGAACTAGGTAAAGTTCACTTGCTTGGCAGCAAGTTCGTCTCCACGTGATAGGAAATTCATCGATTTGATGAGAATGAGATAGTGGGGCTCAGTGTAACGGGAACTCGGGGTGGGGTGTCTGTCTCTTTGCTACACAATTACTCGAAAAAAAAAAGAGTACTGTAACGAACCCAAGCTTCTTTCTGGGTAAAGATTTTCTTTAGGGATACAATTTGATATTTGCAGTCGAGGATACACCAGGCTTGTAACCCCACTAGATTTTTTCCGCATACACATACACCCATATTTGGCAACAGCAGCTGGCCTGCTTCAATGGCGGGTAGCATCCCGTCTGTACTTCACCCTTATATTTAGGGTTGTATAAGCTGCCAGCTGCTCTTGCATTCCATTATCTCATGAAGACTGTAAAGGAGAAACGGGAAAGAGCGCCACTGTGTTGTGAACAACACCATCGCCTTCGTATTAGGATAATTTTCGACCAATTAATAATAAATCGTTATGTAATTGCTAGAAATAAACGACAACATTAGATACAATAATCTTAGAAACTTATATAGGCCTAATCATAATAATAAATATAGAATGTTATTAGTGATACAAATAATGGCAGTATGAATTACGATCGTGTTCTTTGAAAGTCACCATGGGAAATGGTGTAGGCCTATAGCGTACGACAAGTACTTTGTGGTGCGAGTTGTTGGAACGCCGTTTGAAAGTGAGGGGGCCTGGCTTGTGGAATGGTTTGTCCGAGACCTGGCTATCTGTGTGAACGAATTTTGATTTAATTATTCAGCATAAATTTAAAAATAATTATATATCAGAATAATTACAAAAAAAAGCTCAATGTCAATATTAAGATAAAAAATTAATACAATTAAACAAAATAATCTGTAGCCACCACGAATGCAGGCCCATAGCAAGGGGGTTCATGGGGGTTCGCCCGAATCCCCCCTTTTCAGCGAACCCCCGTTGACAAGCAATTACATAGTATTAGAGTATAAGTTTGTATGATTGATTTCTAGCAGAAAAAAAAATCTACTTTGTTGTTTTAACATAGTAAATATTGATGGTCAAATTTACTTAATTTCAGTGTTTTTACTGTGTGTTGTTGACATTTGCCAGGTGATAACGTACACTTTTTAATGTGTTGTGTTGTTGTTTTCAGGTGTCTCATACTCATGTTACGGCAAATTTCATCACTTAATGGACTTCATTTCAAACTGCCTTCACTCCAGTTCACTTATACCTCGTGTCTTACCTCAGGTCCCCGGCATGATCAATGTTCTTGGTAAGTATATCCAATCAATCAATCAATCAATCAATCAATCAATCAATCAATCCATAACCAATCACTCAAAATCAACCTATTGTAACAATCACGCAATCACCAGTTACGCTTCAATATATACATTTAGTGTATTTAAGACTTCATGAGAAATTTCTTGCTAGATAGTAATGCATACTAAATCAACCAATTAATCAGTCGATCAACCGATCTTCGTCGATAGATCGGTGAATTGATTTATTTGTTGATTTATAACTTGATTGCTTTATTCATTGATTATTATCATCGAGTTATCACCAAATTGACGGTTATGGAAAAAAAAATAAGGATACAACAAAGTAGGACTTGCAACTTATTTAAACTTTGGTTGGCATTGAGATAAATACATGTATCAAAAACCTTTCAAAAATTAAACATTTTCAAAATTATTCACTAAATGTTAATGTTCGTTTTCTTCAAAAGAGGCTACGTCAGAGCCAATCCGCTCCCTTTATATATTATATTTCATTGCTATTTTTCTTTATCATGATCCTTATAAGATATATCATGATCATTATAATTATAAATATCGACATCGTTATCATAATGAACATGATTTTCATTTTGAGTATCATTGTCATTTCCATTATGAATGAATAGACCTATGAATGATTAAGATTTTATTCTATTTGTCAACATTAAAATAACTATTATACAAGTAAACTTGAACAAAAGTTATTTTCTTTCTCATAAGCCGAATCAACTTTTCTTTTCTACAGAACAGGGAGGCCAAGCTATAGATGTTGGCTGTGGACGCGGTAAAGTGGTATTGTTGCTAGCACAACGATTTCCAAACAGCAAATTTTGCGGCATAGACATATCACGGGAGAGTATCGAGTTCGCAAAGCGGGAAGCAGAAAAATTAAGTCTTGACAATGCAGAGTTTTACACACAAGACGCGACACAACTGCCTAGCGATTGGACCGACAAGTTTGATTACGTCACATCCTTTGACGCAATTCACGACATGCCGAAACCGGATAAAACGTTATCGGAAATAAAGCGAATCATGAAACCCGGGGGTTATTTCTCTATGCTTGAAGTAAACGTTCACAGTCACCCAGCTAAAAACATCGGCAACCCCCGGGCAATGAACGGCTACGTCATCAGTTTAATGCACTGTATGGCAGTATCACTGAACGTTGAAAATGGGGCGGGTTTAGGCATCATGTGGGGAAAAGAGGACGCAACGAAAACACTGGAGCGAGTTGGATTTTCGGACATAACACTCGAACCAACTCCAGATCGATTCAACTGCCATTACATATCAAAGAAAAAAGAGGACTAGTTTTCAAAAAACATGAATAAAGAATAAATGAACACCTTTATAACGTTGGTTGCATACAAACTAAACACTTGAATCCAGGGAGTCTGCATTGTCAGTATTAAAGATGTGAAGATTTTTGTATAAAACATATTCATTTAAAAGAAATGTAGAACATAGATAATTATTAATGTAAAATAATAATTAAACAAATATTTAGAGTGTTTATGAGGTTTGCGTTGCGTTGTAGTATATGGTTGCTTTGGGTGCCCATGATGATACAGTTACAGATAATTGACAAAAGCCAAAGGTTGCAAGTGGAATCACCGATGGTGTCTTATCCCGAGAGTATCTCAGCACTTGAAGGAAGAGGAGGGTGGATAAGCCTTCGTTGTGGGTGCTGTACCTAACTCTCAACACGTGTGTCCTTGACTGGGAGCGCAAAGTTAATTGTACATAGCACAATCAAGGAAATTATTTTGAATTAAGATTTTTTATGAATTTTAACTTTTTGAAAATCCATACATACATACATACATACATATATATATATATATATATATATATATATATATATATATATATATATATATAGCCTATATCACAGTGGTGTGATAGGCCTATATTTATAAATCTTTGTAAACAAATCGTAGGCATTTTCTTTGACAAGTAATAACGGCAAAAACAATGTCAATGCAGCTGATGTAATAGACATTGTATACATGATTTCATATATTGACAATTCGATTGGATTGACACTATAACACGTTTAATACCGGATTTTTAGTGTGTGTGAATAACGGTTACTGTACAAGATAGCAGTGACAATTTCTAGCTATTGCTACATTTACACTAGACACGATACAAATGCGCGCAGTGTTGAAGAATACAAACTACTGTACGCGATGATATTCATTCATTCATTCATTTATAAAGGTATTTTATTCAAAAATAATTGTAATTGCAGTATTAAAGACTGAATTGAAACAATTTTACAGATTCTAAAAAAGAGACATTAAAAAAGGCAAGAGAAAAACTTGGAACAGACATTAAAACCATGAGGCACTTAAAATTTTAAAAATATTTTAAAAATCTATACACGACAACAAATACATAAACTGATGAGACATGCAAAATCGTATATCGTTGTCGTGTCGTTATCGTGTCTAGTGTAAATCCAGCTTAAGGTGCTCAAGCATAGTCCATCCTTTTTATGTTGTTTTTGAAGCCCTATATTTTTACTACATAAAGATACTTCCTATTATATTTATATATCAAGTGAAAGATCAGATCGTCCAAGCCTTCAAGACCAAACCCACAAAATGAGGTACATAACAACTTGTGCCTAACAAACGTGGATTACTAGTCGGATTGTATGTTTGTTATGGATCACATTTCACCTCAGCCCACAGTGATGTAACAAATTATTATATAAGTTCAAGTTCCTGTGATGTATGAACACGGAAAAAACAAACAGTAGGGCCTACGTATCGTATTGATTTACTTACAATACTTTTTCCATGTTCATAGTTACCCTCGCAAAATTATCGTAGAAGTGTATCAATTAAAAAAGAATAAGAGGTCAATTAAAAATAATCTGCATGAAATAAAAAATACACTAAAACGTGATAAATTGACAATAATGAGATGACGATAGCAATAACTGTAACACTATTACAATTATTTAAAAAAAATGTTCTAAATTAGTAATCGATGAAAAAGGTAAATAAGGACCACCTGTGCACTTTGTCAACGCTTGTATTTTAAGATGCAAATGTGTATTTAAAATAAGTTATATGAATCAAGAATAGTGAAACCTAGGTACAAACGTTCTGATATTTAGTGGTAACATTTTTACTTCAAATGAGGATATACACACAATCACCTTTAAGCTATTTCTCGCTCTGGGTTTAGGTCGGGCCTCATTTAAGAATCACAAGTAGTTTTCTAATGTTATTTGACGTCCATTTTCTATTCTAAATGTTCTTATTTTATACAAAGTTGTATTTAAGTGAATAAAGTTGAATGTAATATATACAATGAAAACTGATTGTATGAATCTATGTCAGCTTCACTATAAAACTAACATTGCGGCGATTTGCCTGGCGTGAGGTGAAAGGCAGCGTGCATATGAAGGATTGGTCTGGGTGCGGCAGGGGTCGCCTTTTAGGGATAGGGAAAAGGCTCTGGTGGGTTCCAGGTTAGAAACCCCCAGCAGACTTGAAGCCGCTTAATAAATTTTAGTAAACAGATCTAAACAACCGAAGCTTTAAATTTAGAGTTCCAATTCTATAGTAATAATTATGTGACTGCCTCTATCCAAATACCAAAATGATGCACATATTATATTTTCTATCATATTATATCAAGTTTGGCAAGGTCTGAATATGCCTTTCAAACACTTTGATTGTAAATGCATCCAACAACGGTAATATTTTTAAAAGAACGATTAATTAAGTTTATCATATAATCACTGGCCAAATTTGCCACACTGGCTTGAGTAATTAACACTAAAAAAAAATAAAATAAATAAATAAAATATCGTTGTGCAATTAATATTTTAAAAAGTGTATTGAATGCAATCATTATGTGCTATAATAAAGGTTTATATACGGGGTGAATTACCTGTGGTAGGGACTTTTCCCAGATGCATATTTCAAATTTAAAAACTTTTAAAATCTAAACAGATTCCTACATTAAGCAGAAACAATATTTTGTTATATAACCTCTAATTATAGTAACTATATTTCAAACAAATAAAAGAAAACAAATTCCAGATAATTTAAAAAACAGTTTTTTTTTAATTTTTATTTCTTACACCTGTCTGCTATACCTTTTAATACATTGTATACTTATTGAAAAGGTATGGTAAACACAACATACAAAGTTTGATGTACACCAAAGATCTTATAAAGACAAGGTAGCGTTCTCCGCGATTTACACATAACAAATAGAAGCGTCGGTCAAGGTTCAAAAGTTCTATCCTGTTGCCATGGATCTGAGATGGTTTCTGTTCTGCTGTTCACAGGATTGATACCTTAAAGGTAAAGTCGCGCGGTGTACGGTGTGGTCAGAGCGGTCAAGGGTCAAAAGTTTCCAATTTAGCAAGAGGGCGCCATTCATGCCTTATTACTGAATTTGCACGCGTAAATCGCGGAGAACGCTATCTTGTGTTTATAAGATCTTTGATGTACACTCACAACCAACTGAGCATACTGCATACACAGATGGAATTAAATAATCAACAGAGGGCTCACTTCATTTATTTTGATCTTACAATCCAAAGCCAATGGTAAATACTGTATTGTCTTGATTATCAAATTCTCTTTGACAAAAAATGTTGTATGCCCATATATAGTCATGATGTGCCTATATATGGTCATGAAGTGATGTCATCATGACCATATTTAGGCATGTCATATTTTTTGTCAAATAAAATGTAATAGTCTTGATAGGGCTTTATACATGTATCTTGGAATATGATTGACAGCTCAACCCATGTAATAAAAAAAAATCATAAAAATATGAGAGATATTATCAATGTTTCAAACACAAAATGTGTGACGTTACCATCCATTGTATAGGATATTAACAAATTTAATTGAATTCAAAAGAAATCTGTCTCCTTCCTGTCAAAATTCTGTAACAAATATGTGATTTACCCATATATAGGTATGATGATGTCATAGCACAACCATATATGGACAAATCACCAGTATGTCACATAAGGGCATGAGAGAATACACAAAAACAGGATATAAATAAAATGCCTGTTCTTTCATCGTCACTAAACTAGAGACCCATCGAAGCATCTCAATGATTGAAAAGAAAAGAAAATTCTTAACTCAAGTTTACTGTATATACTAGAAATGAAGAGCTTAAAAAATACACAAATATAGGATATAAATACAATGATTTCATTGTCACTAATCTAGATAGACGTATTTTAGAATCTCTCAGTATGGATTGAAAGTGTACCTCTAAAAACTAAAAATGTTCTTGAAATCAAGAATGAAAGAGAGAAAAAAAAACAAAATTCAACAGAATATGGAGAAAGCATTGGAGGTTGTTTCATTTTGAATCAGCATTTAAATTTGAAAACAAAATATCATTAAAAAATATTGATGGCCTAAAAATGTTTTTTTTTACAAATAATAACTAACAGAAAAATTATAATTGGTGAAAATCCCAGTATACACACATACTGTTATAGAAATAGGGGTTCCAAGATTGAAAACAGCGTTGATTAGCTGCAGAAGACTAATGTTCAACTGGTGCACAATGATCAATCAAACTCGCTTTACAAAAAATTGAGATGAAGACAACTATCACTATCGCCTCTTGTTACTTCGTCTGCAAAAATAAGTAATCAAAAACATTATTAAAATAATTTATTAGGCATATTATTGTTGTTATTAATTAAAAGTTACAGATACTGAAGTAAGTGGTTATTTTTATTAAGTATAGTTTCGTGTCATGAAATTCTTGCACCTAGGGCTGAAACTTACTGTAGCATGAAACATTTCATAGCCAGTCAATAATGCAAGCTGGGGTATCTAAGCAATGACCAGTGTTGAGAATGGTCAATGTGTGCTTCAAATTTTTCAACACAAGGTGGAGAACCAGAATGGGAATTGCTGCACTGCCAAACCTCAAAAACAAATGTGAATGATGTATTCATTGAGAAGGTTCAAAGAAGAGCAGCTTGATGGGTCACAAGAGGTTTAGAAGAACATCTAGTGTTAACCAGATGTTAACATCTCTGGAATGGTCTACTCTTGAACTTAAAAGAAAACATCAACGTCTACAGTTGTTCTACAAGCTCCACAGAGGTTTGGGCGATATCAATTCCTATATACTTCCCCTTCCCAAAGATCACCACCCAGAAGAGCCACCTGGAAATCTCACAGCTGCCGGTATGCAGAAACCCACCATCGTACAAACTAACACAGGTCATTACTCCTTCCTGGAACTGTTGGAGAATGGAACCGATTACCTGAGCATGTTGTCTGTGCAAATACCATGGGAGACTTTGAATCTGGTCTCAATTCATTAATGTCAAATAATTACTATAATGATAATATATATATATATATATATACTGTCTCTTATACACAAGACTTAGAACTTAATTAAAACAAAAAGTCAATGAGGATGAACGTTGCTTTGGAGGGGAGCTGTGGAATCGTGCATAAAGTGTTCACCTTCCAATAAAAAATGAAAGAAAAAAAATGTTAGGAAGAAGATATTTCTTGTCCATTGATCCCTTCTCAATCACTCCTATCTTCATAAAGCAATTGCTCAATATGTAGGCACAATCATTATTAATTTACCCAATACAGTCTAAATATGTATTGCAGCAATTAACCAAATTATGTACCAATATTGTTGTAAATAATATAGACTGAATTGTAAGGTAGCTATTGTAAGGTAACTTTGGCAGATAGTGGTCCTTAATGGTATACAGAAACACATGAAAAATAGTTTCTCTAAGAATCAATATATATTTGATTCCTCAAAACTTCTTTTGAGAACCTATGATATAGTATACAATTATTGTCAATACTGTAGACACTGGAAATTTACTTTCCTTTGATAAATATACACGATTTAATCAAAAGCAAGAGTTCAGCTTTAGTACACCTAGTTACTTTAAATAAAGAGCAAATTTGCTAAAAATGTAATGCAATTATGTTTAGAAATATAACCACCTAAATAAATGTTGTTACAAGCCTAAAAACATATTTATAAACTTTAAAATATAAACATTCATTTTTAGATTGCTTGAATGTATTTAATGACGACACAATTAAGGTCGAAATATTGAATCCCGACACGATGGTATGCATTTCGATACTTGGAGTATGTATTATATTGTTGAATTGTTTGAATTTTGAATTCAAAATTACAAAAGAGGTAACATTTTCCCTCAAAAATTGCTTACTTAGTATATTTAAATTATTATCTTTCAATTGTAAATTAAAATGAGAAAATATTTTTCTCATCAATTAACATTCATAAATAAAAAAAGTGATCTTAAATCAACAAAGTTTAAAAAAACATAGCACTTTAGACAGGGAGTGTTTAAGTGAAGATCCTATTGCTGAATGTTGAGTGGTAGTACTTGTCAATATTGATTCAGTATAAACAGACAAATGATCATTTACTTGCAAACTTCATCACATAAGCACGTCATATTTTGTCCCATGCTGTTAAGTGGTCCGGCACGGTTGGAACCTACAAATCAAGGTCTCACCGCATTTTCAGTCAGTTAACCTACATAATTTGATTTCAACCTACAGTGACCACTTCAACACTCACCCGCCATACACTCACTAATATTTTTTCATCATTGCAATATTGTTGATTTACCAAATGATTCAATTTCTTTCATTAAAGACCACACTATGTGATGTCATTATTTTCATAAGAAATTAAAGTACAAAGTACTTTCCTATGTAAACGAGCTCGAAGCATAGTTTATATAGGAAAATCGTCTGTGTGTATTTTACTGACAAAAGCCGTAGGCCCTGACAGCTAAAATGAAGGTAAGATTGGACACATAGGCCTAGCTAGGGCACTGGAAACTGAGCAATGCATTACTGGGATGCATGAAAAGGGTATACAGTGCATCAGAATTCTTTCACTTTCTTTCACTAATATTTACTTACTTAATATATTAATATTTATTTTTAGAACAGATCATTTATATGGTTCTACCACCAGTAAAGTTATAATTTGTGACACAGTACTATGAATTTTAATTTCCAGGTAGATTACGAGTGGGGGTGGCTACGGATAACTGTCCAGTGCTTCGTTATGTCAAAGTTTATTTGCATCATATTTTGGATAATTCAGTTTGGTCACAGATACAGCCTGATACTGTACATGTTGAACAACACTTGAATGCTGTATGGTGAATGGCTTGGATTTGATATGCACCTTTTCACCTATCTCTGTGGTGTGCTAGTTAGGGCATCACAAATCATCATTCTCAATTACATGGCTAATTCTGTACCATAACAGATATTTCATTTTATAAAAACACAAATACTGTATGAGAACTTACATCAAATCTGAAAGCTGTATGAATAGGGTAGTCCAATTCACAAGTGTATGTGATTGACATTAACGCAGTAAGACATGATGAATGAAAATTTTATGATTCACTCTTTTGTTGTAATACTGTAGGCCGCCTGTACATGAACAGACTGCTTTTAACAAACAGCTTTAATAATGCACTAAGAAGAAAAAACCTATTCAATGACCCAAATCATTATTAATAATAATAATATTAGAACATAACACTTTTAGATCAGTGGCACTCAAAAATCATTTGGTTCATTCATAATGAACCAAAATAAACAAATTAAGATTCTAAAAACTACATGTACATAAAATAACAAAATCAAAAGAGAGAATTTAAGCCACACTTGGACATTAAATTTAATAATTTACAGTTTATTAAGTGAATTATAATGTTGTTTTAGTTGTTTATTACATTCTATAGAAAAAAACCTAATTATATAATATTTTGAATATTATTCATTATTTCTGTTGGGTGACAACCAGGGGCGGATTTAGGGGGGGGGCCGGCCCGGCCCCGGCCCCCCCTTTTGGGAGGTAAAAAAAGGGGAAAAAAGGAAGAAAAAGAGAGAAAAAGAAAAAAATGATAGCCCAGAATGCCTCAAATGTTATGTTCGGGCGTCTAGAACACAAAAATTTCGCGGGGGCATGCCCCAGACCCCCTACGCCAGTGTTGTCTCAATTGGCCCAACTTTCGACCCCCGCTTCCGGCCCCCCCTTTTGGACATTTCTGGATCCGCCCCTGACAACAGTAGTAAGAGCAGCAGATGTCCAATGTCTAATGATTCAGTCAGGGCTACTGTAATCAAGGAGTCTATGTTATCAATTCATTAGAAACTTAAGCTCTCTAACAGTCAGCAAAAATGTCTGTTAGATAAATATGTCTGCTGGGATGTACTACAAATTTCATGAATGGGTGCCACAATAATAAAAAAAAAAACACGTAATTCCAATAAAGAGTCCACAGATGCATCAAAGCAAAAAACCTTGTTACTTTAACCTAAATAAAACAATAATTGCACTACAAATGAAATTTGTCAATATAGGTCTCACCCTAATTAAAGACCCCTCTAATTAAAGAACCTTCCAATTAAAAACCACCTCCAATTAAAGACCACTTATCTGTGGTCCAAAATAACAAATGCTTTGTATCTTTATTGTTTTAATTAGAGACCATAGCTGCTAAATACCATGGAAATCCCAGTCCCAAAAATGATCTTTTATTGGAGAGAGACCTGCATTTATAATAATCACCAAAAGTAAGTTAACATTTCATCACAATATAAGAGAATACAGTAAATAAATATTGTAAATAAAATAAACAAAAATGATTAACTAAAATGAAATAATAAATATTTTTTTTAGCAATTTTATTAATACAGGTCTCCATCTAATTAAAGACCACTTTTTGGACTGGGGATTCCAAAAAGTCTCTAATTAGAACACCTTTAATATATAAGACATTGTAAATTTGGGACCACGGATAAGTAATTACACTTCCCCTCCCAGATTCAATATTTAAAATCTGTATTTTCTTAAAAAATCATATATCATATCAAACAGTTTGCTTTCCTTGATTTATATACAAACTTACATTAAGAGTGGGTTGTTTGACAAAGATCTACAGGCTAAAAACTAGGTACAGTTCCATGGGGTTCAAGCTAAGTCATAGTTAAAATACTAGAATCTAATAATCATCTTGTTTAAACAAAATGCAATTAAGATAAGAAAGACGTTTAGATTTTCACAGGGATGTGAGGATTGTTTGGGTTATTGTCCCTTGCATATCAGCAAACACCTTGACTTTTGATAACTACTTCAATTAATCAACTTTCAATTTTTAAAGTAACATTGAAATTAATGATTTGTGAGCTGTTTTAATTTTTTCATTATCTTTGCCTATCAATCAACCTCATGATTTCTTAATCTTTAAAGGGAAAATAGTAGAAAATATTGAAGATCTTGCATAAGCACATTTAGGGCTGGAAAAAGTGAGCAACCGCATTGCATAATTAAATTTGATATTTTTGCTTGCCCCAAACCACTAAATATACTACTGTTTCTCTATAATAGTGTAAAGATAATATTTGGTCCTGGAGACATTGATCAAGATAATTTTCATTTCTTCCAGACCTGAGCACATTTATCCACCTCAGAATTACAGAAGATACATATATTTAAATATTGACTCTGGGAGGGGGAAATAATGTTACACCACCTTTTCCCCCAGTTTTTTAAATACAGGTCTCCTCTTAAATTAAGACCCCTTCAATTATTATTAAAAACCACCTCCAATTAAAAACCACTTTTTGGACTGGGGTTTCCACGCAGCAGATTTGGTCTATAATTCCCAATAAAGATAAAAGACATAAAAGACATTTGTTAATTTGGGACTACAGATAAGTGGTCTTAAATTGGAGGTTTTTTTTTTTTTTCTCTTTTCTGGGATCGTCCCACTTTTATTTCATCATAATGTCTTAAACTACGTAGATATATTACACATAACATATACAGTAGTCTACATTTTAACAGTTATTATATATATTAAGTAAATAATAGTATGAAATATATATCTGTTATGAAATTACTTAAATTGGAGGTTAATGGATTAACTGGATTATCAAATTGAAGCATGGACAACAGAATTTCTTAACCAGTCACAGTGCATCAAAGTAAATCTCAACAGTCGTACTACAAAGAATGTCAAACTGCTGAGGATATGGAAGATGATGGATGGAAAAAATTCCAGTACAGAAATTATACAAATTCCATAATGGTTATCAAAAAACTGTGGACAATTAATACATTATTTTCACATTAAATTGAGAGAGGGCAGAAAAATGAAGAACATTCTGTGGCCAAGAGACATCAATCTGTCTGAAATTAGATGACAAAACAAATTAAATAAATAAATGGAAATGCCTCATACTAGAGTATTCTCATTTATGGATCATTTCATGTAATCTTTTAACAGAATTGCTCTAATTGAAATGTAACTTTTATTGTTTTTTCCAATGCTACTTTGCTCACTAATATAAAATTAGGGGTAGCGTACTCCAAGATATGTCCCTACTGTGTATAAAATATAAAATTCTAAAGTACAACTGGTCTTCAGTTTTGGTTCAATACCGATATAGAGGGCGCTATATACATTTATTGTTGTGGCATATAGATCACTGTTGATATGTACAGTATACATTAAGGTATAACTTTAGTAATATAAAATATTTATTACAAATTTCAATAATGAAATTTTAAAACCATTGATCAATAATGTTTAAAGAATGAATCAAATGAGACAAGAATATAAATTCAAATTTTTTTCTGTCGTAAATTGTGCATTTAAACAAAGAGTATATTATTGACATGATATATAGTAGTCATTCTACACTTAATTTTAATATTTCATGGCATTAGAACCAATATCAGTTATTATAAAAATTGTTGTCAACAGTGGTTATAATAATTTTTTGGAATGACAGCATTTTCAATTCTGTAAGAATTTTAATATTGCTGTTGAAAAAATGTTAACATTGGTTTTAGTTTTCAAATTAATTATGATTGTATTATTTTGGTATAATTTAGTGAATATTTAATATTATTTATAGATTTTACAAGTGTACTGTTTGTATTAAGCCCATCATAAGAAACAATACATTTATATTCATATAAATCTAGGTCTACTTTGGGGTATCCAAAGACTACTGGTATAGCAGCTTCCTGTTATAAATGATTTAAGCAAGTGCAGATGGCACAGTAGTAGTGGTAGAAATATATAACCACAGTACACCTGCCACTACTAACTTTAATCCAATTGTAAAGATCATTGCACCATTAGTTCACAGCCAAGTCAATAAAAATTATTTACTAGTTCATTTTATTTCATTCTCATCCAATAGCAATTTAACAATTACAATGATTGACACATTTATTATCAAAATTGGTGTTTTGGGTATTGGGCCTCATAATGAGGCTTAGTAGGGGGTTGTGATTGGCTGTTAGAGATTAAACTATTATTAATCAACAACTATGGTGAAGGATAACAAGGATGATGATGATTTTAAAGTCGATGATGACAAATAATATTTAGACTGCACTGTTGAATGATTTTAAAGCAATCAGTGTTCTCCCGAAGCTGTTTTACCCGTCAATTTTACCAGTAAAAATAACTGACCAACCAGTAAAAATTGTGTGTTCGTAGACTAAAAAAAGCACTTATTAGGCCTAGGTAGCCTAGACTGGCCTTCTTTACAAACAAACTTCATTCCAGTTCAGGCCTAGCTATGATTATGTATTATTGTTTTTTAAAGCCATTGAACTCCACATAAATGTGGCAATACCTCACGTTGCGCATGCTTAGTTGGCTTTATATGGCTTTATATGGATGAATTTACCAGTAAAAATTTTTCAATTGCTCAGTGACATAAAAACCAACACCAACAATAAAATAATATCAATCTTAAATAGTGCATGCCAGGGCCACTATATGTACTAAGTCAATTATCACTTGTCAACGAACGACGATTGGGCAAGTGTATGTCGTAGTGCTAGGTGTGAAAACACTAGTCTACAATTCAAATGCGGTGTGCGATACACAACTGTACAAGTCGTTTTCACTTTTTGCACACAAACCGAAAAAAGACAAAGCAAACCGTGCACTAATGAAAAATTAGTGCACGGTTGGGGATAGGAATAATAACATTTTCATTATTACTCTGGTTGTGGGATCAAACACCTACTTACGCACCTACTCCGTCATATTCATTGGCTCCCTTTGAAACAGCATATTGATTTCAAAATTGTATTGTCTGAATTCAAATTCATTCATTACTCATCTCTCAAATACATTTCTCAACTTATAAAATCTCGCGCATCAACATGGATTTGACTACTCTTGATTGTCCACCCTGCAGGTTAAAGTCCTGTGGGGAGCGGTTGTTCATGGTTGCTGCACTTAAATTATAGAATTCTTTACCTTTATCTATTGGTGAGTCGCCATCTGTATCTTTGTTCAAATATCAATTAAAAACTCACATGTTTTGTTCATTTTGATTCCCTTTTCCCTTTTCCCTTTTTTTTTTTATCTAGTTACATAACTTAGGATAGGAGGCGCCCGAGTCCTGGGATGGCACATTTTGATAGACGTTGAATCATCGACGAGGGCGTAACCCACACATTGCAGTTTGGGTGCTGGCTTGGAGTCCTTCTTTTCTTGTTTTCCAATTACTACACCCGTAATTTTTAACACATAGAGACGTTCCTACTTGTGCAGTATACATAACCTTTTCTTTAGGAAATATTGCAGCTAATAATGAGTGGGCACTCATCTAACCCTACTAGGTATCCACTTATATTCCTAGGTGGAGAGGCACAACATGAATAAAAGGCCAAATGGAACTTGAACCACTGTCATTTTGAATTAAAGGCCAACGGCTCTACCACTGCTCCAGCTTCCAGCTGCTCACTATGTTTCCAATCCTCAAGACATAAACAGAATTATTCAACTCCCTTCGCTCCCAGCACACATTTATGAAATGGTTGATGAAATAAAGAGTTGAATATCTTACCCCCGTTTTCCTGATTGTGCTCCGCGAACAAATGCCCAGTCTACGCTGATTTCTTGGCCTAATATTTCTGTGCCATTCAGCTCATCCATGGCCTTCTGTGCCTCCTTGAATGTCTCATACTCAACAAGTGCATAGCCCTTGAATAAACAACACAACATTCAAATTAGTGAATTATATTAATTAATGAAGTATTCTATTTATCAGTAAAGTTTGTTTTTAAGATGCACAGTCAAAACAAAACAAAATGTACAAAAACATTTCCTGTAAACATTTGTAAATTGTGTTAAATATCAAAGTATGTGTTTTGTACAAATATTTGTAACTATTTGATTCATTGAAAAACAGAGGAAATGAACTGTCTAAGTGCAGATATTCACATTTGTATCTAATTTAATTCATTTATTTGGTTGATTCATACACATATAGGGTATTACTATTAAAATACTTGCATAAGGCCCAATTAAAGAAATTATTGGTTTATCACCCTCGTGCAATACATTTTTGGAAAAAAAATTCTTAAAAAAAAAAAAAAAAAAAATTTTCAAAAATTATTTTTGTTCATTTTTCTTTTTAAATAGTTAGCAGATATTGCTTGTATTATCTCAATCATGTTTTACTTTGAATATCAATGAAAGAGCAAACAACCTCAGGGTGATATTTGGCTTTAGCAAAAAAAAAAAAAAAAAGCCTCCCTCTCTCATCACTTTTCCAACCTAGTGTGGGTGAAAAACTACACCCTCCTACATAGGGTGAAAACTACATTTTTTATAGGGCCTAACCATAAGAAATTGCAAATCTACAATACATTAACATTTGCAATTGAATTACTGTAGTAAAATTAGTTGACAAATAAAAACCATAGATAAGATAAGAAAAAACCTATTGTCATCACCACAAACAAGGTGAACATGAAATTTGGTTTCCTTGATGCTTAACTACAGTAGTGAGTATGAAATAAATAAAAAACACAAGGATTAGTTGCACTTAAAAAAAATATACATGAACTGTTACAAAAATATACTATCTGAAAAGTTGAGTTGTAAACATGAGTTGAATTATGAACAAAAGATTTCCTGCATCATGTTGCCTTGCATCTTAAACATAATCATTGTTTAATGCGTGTGAAATATCTTCCATAATTTGTTAACTTGGCTAATCACATCATGTTTATATATCCCGTCAATAACATTTCTACTTATTATTTCACTTGTAATTTTCATTATTTATTCAAGTGTGGCAATCCTTTCACTGTGGCAATCCTTTCACAACTTTACAAACTACTTTACATAAAATCTTATTACGAGGCTTAGAGTATGAAGTTGGGTTTGGTTGTAAGAAAAAAAAAAATCCTGACACGATTTGAACCCAGGGTCCTGGAATTATAGGCAAGCATATTAACCAACCAGTTACAGCTGCATCATAATCAGTGAACTATTTTATACATGCAGGAGTATTGTATCAATCAATCAATTACATTAATGTATGTTACATATGTTGGTTAAATTATGAATTTAGCAAACATAAATTTGCAGAATAGTCGGTGGTGTTAACTGTATCTCTAGGCCCTTTAAAAAACACCCTTGAAATCCCGGGCGACCCTGGATGCACTTTTAATGCAATCGTCCTCATGCGTCAAATCATATATTGACATGACATATCCAACCCCGATGTGCTACAAATAAATCTAAATTTTCCCAATGTCGCTTGCGTGAATTATGCTTTCAGTAATTGTACGAGTCTTAAGTCCGCGAATGGTTGACACCTGTGACCTTACGCACAGGTGTCAAACAACTCATTCCTCGTTGGCCCGCAATGTTATTTTTCACCAGCGTCATGCACTTCCTTCAGGGGGTTCCTGTGATAGCCTTGAAACCTATAAAACCACCTGAATATGGAAAAAGAACACAATATCCATGAATAAAAAATATAAATAAACACGTCCATCACTGCATTCCAAGCGTTTCCCAAAAGAATGTCCTCCTAATTGGAAAATTATAGAAACTTGGACATGATTGTCCCATTTCAAAGCAGAAAAATTTATATTTTGGAAATATGATCATCAATCTCCTTGTAAAATATCTGGAGCAGAGGTCTAGATTCAGAATTCGGTCCCTTGTCTCAATCAATAGTTTTTTTCCATTTGATGAATAGTAGTTTACCGTTAAATAAATGATCGCAGCTTCTTGCTCATTAGTTTATTGTTATTCTATGCATGGACTAGTCCATATTGTACACTGAATGCCTTTATCTGCAGCTAATTTCATGCAGTTTCTTTCATGTATTTGATGCAATTTCTTGCTCATTAGAACATTTTTTGCTTATGTATTGTAGTTTTTTTGCTCATTTGATATAGTTTCTTGCTCATTTAATGTAGGTCATTGCTTTTGCATTCAAAGTTTTTTTGTTTGATGTATTTTAAGTCATTTGGTTTTTTTTTTGCTCAATTAATGCAGTTTCTTGGTAATTAACAGTAATGTTGATTCATGCTTTCTTGCTCATACTATGATATAGTTTCTTCCCCATTTGATGTAGTAATCTTGCTAATTTAATGTAGTTTCTTGTTCATTAAATGCAGTTTCTTGCTCATTCAGTGCAGATTCTTCCAAATTTTGGTACTTACGACATTGTCAGCCTATTTGCTTGGCTAGCACAATACATTTCCAATGCTACCCAAATTTCGTTCGTTCAGCCATAGAGCAGACAGACAGTTTCTTGCTCATTCAAATGCAGTTTTTTCCTCATTAAATGTAGTTTCTTGCTCAGTTCATTGTTTAATATTGATTCAATGTAACTTCTAGACAAAGCTGAATGTCCAACAGTAGAGTTTTCAATTTTTTGGTATTCATTCTTCACTTACTTCGCTAGCACTGCAGTCAATATAGACATACCTCGCTGTTTCATTGAAATCACATAACTAATTGTACAACTGTTCACATGGTTATATCAAGCACAGGTCATTACATTACCCACTACCGCAACATCACACTTATGTCTTATGTGATTAGGCTGAATGTATATTTAGCAATCGAGCTGAGCCCTGAATAACCCTACTTTTAAAACACCTGCTAACCCGTAACTGTAAAAGTTTGAATATTACACAGTAGCAGTGTCTATGTCACGATTGGCAGCTGCCTCATCACCACCCACAACTTTATAAATTTGCTAGGCTTCATTTTACATTTTTTAGAATATGCTTTTTTCTTTAACATTTCAGGTAAAATATGGAACTAGCCTCAAACTATCAATGAAAATATTGATTTTCTCAATGCCAAAAAAAATAAATTAAATAAAATAGAAGTCTGAAATATTGTTCTCGCCCATTTAAAGCATATTGTCCATTATTTATTTATTGTAATGCATTACATTCCATAAGGAAAGATCAATTTAGAAATACTTAAGAATGATTTAATTACTTGTATTATGAACATGATGTACAGAAGATATTCTACAATAATAATTATGAAGATAAAATGTTCTTGGGGGGAAAGGGATTCACTTTTTCTAATAGTAACAGTTACTGTAGGAGCTTTGACAGGTTTTGTAAATTCTACCTTACACAATCATGGCAAAAACGAAAGGAATTGAAGACCTTACAATTGCAAATTTTATGTTTCTTGGACTTGTTTTTCATTTTGCAATTTATTCTGTGATTTTTATAGTTTTTTTTTTACTTGTGTATCTTGGTATGAGTGTGTGTCACTGATATACAGTAGGTCACAATTATTGTTTCAATAAATTATAATTATTACAAAAATGATAATGTTCATATTCTTTTAATCCTTTTAAATTACTGTAGCTGGTAATCAATGTAATGCCATTTGTAGCAAAGTCTTTAAAATTAGGGGTTAATCATCATCATCATTATGATATCATCAGCATCACCAATATTATCATCATAATCATTATCATAAACATTATCATGAATGTGTTTTCAATCATCAAATTCTGGTGAATGGGGTTAAGAGATTAAATCACAGAATTATAAACTGGCCTCATTTTGATATTCAGGGTTTAACAGTTCTTGGATTTTACTGCTGTAAACATGTACAAATTTACAAATCACAAACATGCAAATAAAATTGAATTAAGGAGTTGAATCAAGAAACACACATGGTAATTGATATTCAATTTACATTATCAGAAAGCAGAAATGCATACAAGCGGCCATATAATAAATATTCCATTTCTAAAAGTTTGCCCGTCAATGTTTCAAAGGGAATACAATAACTTAAGGGACTCAAAGAACTTTCTACAATTTTAATTTGATTTATTCCAATTTGAGGGAGTCGCCAAACTTCTAAAGGCAACATTAAGCACAAATATTGACAATGACCTCAATTCTAGCACAGATGAAAAAAAAACTAAAACATTTGTAGATTTACGACAAATGTAGAAATGCGAGCTGGAATGTCATATTGAACAGCAAGCTACGCTAATTGAAGACAGACTGTGGCCCTGGAGAGGCATGATTTCCACATTTGTAGAGTCCAACCAAATGACTGCCACCATGTACAATTATAGGTAACAGATTTGTCATTGGTAATGAATAAATTCATTTGTCAAATTACAAAAGGGTAAGTAAGAATAACACAATTCCAGTCTAATGAAGAACATTAGAGGTATGTCTAGCTTTAAACGGTTGCCATTTGGAGGACGGAGATTCAACCGTCAAGTGCCGAGAAGCATGCGTTTCTCAAGTAACATCGCAAACAATTACATTCCTAATAAACACAAGTGACACGAAAGTCAGCTGGCAGAAGGAACGATAACAAGGGAATAAAAGTATTCTCATTTGTAATTGCATGGCGCTTACGATTCAAACAGCGTGACATGGCAGAAAAGTGAGTGGCGGGCGCAAATCTCCTAGCAGTAAGGCTCCTAAAAAGTAAATTCCTTATTTGGCAATTGTTTGTTTTGATAAAAAACAAATACAGAAAATGATTAGACATGATGTACTCGTCAGACCCGACGGATTAACTAGGGCAGAGTCTGGTTTCAGACAACATTGACGAGCATACTGAATGTTGGAGACTTTCTACTTTTGGCCTACTAGTTCCACGGGACTTTAAATCAGTTTTATCACCAAAGCGAACACTGCCCTCATGATCCCACACAAGAAGATGATGATTGCTCAGTG